ACTTTTCTATTACTTTTCTAAAGATTATCCTTCATGCTGTTTCTAGTCCTGACGTTTGAATCCTTCCATCATCCGACTGACGCCTCCTAAATTAGATCGGCCATTTTTTGGATCCTTTCCAAAGATCGAATTAGCTAAATTTTGCTTTTGTCTTCTTCTTCTTGAGTCATATTTTCGGTAATAAATCATACATAACTCAACTTGGCTCTAGTTAAGAGTTCGTTCCACGAGTTCCATACCATGTCACTGCTCAACCCAACCGACATTGTCGGGATAATCTTTTGCTTATTCTTCTCTTTTTTCGGTTAGGGCTAGTGTTTGTATCAATTGTTTATGCGACATGCGATTTAGATTCGTCCTATTGTAATGGATGCTTGCTTTAACTGATGTATTTTGAATTTCGAACCCCAAGAGCAAAAATTAAATAGAGCAATCACTCACCACTCCTAACACCCGTAAAGTGGTCAGTCACCTAATTAACTAAAGTCTTATTACTCTGCTTGATACATGTAAAGGGCTGAGTATTGCAATTGGGGAGGAAGTTGACTTTGGAGAATTTCTAATGCGAAGTGGTTGGCGTTTTTACCATTATCGACGACACCTCTGATGTGCATTGCGCATCGGAAAAACTAAAATTCTTCACGGAAGCAATTGAAAGGTACAATCGGCACACGGATGCTTTTCTCGGTTTACCAATTCTAAATTACTTTATTCTTATTCAATCAAAACTTGAACTCAATTGATACGTCGATTTCCAAAGGTGGATTGCAAAGGTACATGCTAACGTGCTACAAGACACTTCCTGATTTGTATGGTGAAAATTGGCTAAGAAATGACCAGAAAAGGACAATCATACCGCCTCTCCTTTCCAAAAGAAGTGATAAGCCATTGAACGTTACATCAATCGAATGCAATGTTTACTCTGTCCACATGCAACAAAAAGTCGGAGTTTTAGATAAGGATGAGAGACCGTCATATATCCAGCTCCATCAAATACATTAAAACTCGAATATTGACGTAGCTTTACCCACAAATGAAAAATCAAGTGAAAGCGTACTTTGCCAAAGCCAAAAGGTTTCACCAAAATCGCGTACCGACGATGGAGGAGTACATGCCCATAGCATTAGCAACCGCTGGTCTTGAATTGCTATTCCGGACATCGATTCCGGAAATTGGAGATATCATAACAAAAGATGGTAAAAGTTTTAGCAGTAGTCGGTCGGCTCATGGATGACATCGTCGGACACAAGGTATATAAAAGCTATACTAGTGAACAACATTAACTTATCTAAATTTTGTCCGATAGAATTTATCAATAGGTGAAGAAAAAAATAATTTCCACGAGAAATTTGTTTACAGTTTGAGCAAGAGAGAAGTCCTGTCGGATCTTTAGTGGAGTGTTCATGGAGCAAATCAGAGCTGCAGAGGAAGAGGCTAAGGAGGAACTCTGTAAGCAAGTGGTCGCTGCTCCATGGAAGGACATTAACGAAGAGCTGTGCCGCCCGACTATTCATCGTCCCCATGTGAATCCTCAATCTCACATGATCCGTCCATGAGCTGTGTAAATGATTGAAAAAGGTTGCCGTCCACGGTGACCGGCCGAAGAAGAAGGGAAAAGAAAAGAAAAATTAAAATTTCGATATTAAGAAAAAATGTGTTTATAAGGCTAAAGAGAGAAATGGGTTGGAAATGGTAACCACACTCGATCCATTAAACCCCTTTGTTTTAGGCCTTACACTTTATAACATATTTAAAATATGCCCTTTAAAATTAGAGTGATTCATATATGATCAATTTATTTTTTAACTGGGTCATATATGGGTTTAAAATCCATTTTGATAGGTCTAGGAGTGACACAGAGTGACGTGTGTAGTGTGAGACGTGAGTGTCTTGAATGTCCTTATAATAATAAAAGAGAGTGTATATTGTGAGTGAGTGTCCACTTTGTATTCCACAAGTTGTATCAGAGCCGCGCCTCTCAAGTTCAACATAGAGTTTCTTCATCCATTGAACTGCGGCTAAAATGATCGTGCTCTAGCTTCGTGAAATGCATAACTCACAAAACTTCCGGGAGCTCACGTCACATTTATTTCCTTAAGGCTGGGTTCTCAAATCTCTTGTCAATTAGAATGAGACCGGCATTCTCTTTACCATGATCAAATTGACGGTTGTTGCACGTAGATGCAAGAGGAGCTCTGTACCACAAGTTTGTCATTGGCCTACTTCATAGACACTTTTTTTGTGAATGTGAACGAGGAGTTCATGAGGAGTTTTCAGCTAAATTCATTTATATACGTAATTTTCATTTCATCTAGCATTTGAAGAAGTTCAAATCTTGACTTAAGCTATTATCTGAAAGCAAACATATGGGACTATAGACTAACGAATCGGTATCTGGTAAGATTATTAGGTCACGGTGGCAAAATATTGTCGAGTACCATGTCATAATACGGGAGCTGATATATTCTCTCAGCTTCGACTTTAACAATATATAAAGTTCCTCTGGCATGCGAAAAAAGATGCCGGATTAATCGAAACGGTTTCGACCAAAAAAAAAAATCGAAACGTTTACCAGAGGAGCTTTATGTCAAGGCCCTATCCAACCAAACGAACAGATTCTACGAGGGAATTACTTTGGCTGTGCCAGCGCACGCCAGCTCCTACCAAAGCGCAACCCCATCAAAACAAATTTGGTCAAGTTGTTAATGGGCTTTTCGACCCAGAAAAAAGAAGAAGTTGTTGTCAATGGGCTTTTATGGGCCCAAACCGGAAGCCCAAAAGGCACATCAGTATTTGTTTGGGCCAGAGCCCGTTATCATGTCTATCGGTTCTTTCCGGGTCGAATCGGCAGTTCAGCGAGATCGAAACGTTTCTAAGGCTGCGCATGACAACTTGCCAAACAGTGTTTGATTCTGTTCTTTTGTTCCCAGAATCAGTTTGGGAACAGAAATGCGTTTGTTTAATTTTTTGATTAGGCACAATTTTGTCAAAAATTGTTCCTAATCGATTTTGGAAACGAGAATCGAATAAAAAAAAAGTAGCTTCTTGATTCTGGGAACAATTTTGAGAATCAATTTTTTTTTCTTCTTCCTTTTCTTGGTTTTTAATTTAGCTTCTAATGTCCGGCCCGAGGACCGCCCTTGCCGGATCTAACGAGAATAAAATATTTTAATAAAATATATTATTAATAAAAAATATTTTACCGGCCATGGCCAACGACCAGGCCATGGCCATAAAAAAGAAAAATATATATTTTTAATAAAAAAATTTTAATAAAAAAAATATTTTACCTGCCATGGCCGGTGATCAGGCCATGGCAAAAAAAGAAAAAATATATATTTTTAATAAAAATATTTTAATAAAAAATATTATTAATAAAAAAATTATTTTACCGGCCATGGCCAGCGACCAGGCCATGGCCAAAAAAAATAAAAATGTATATTTTTAATAAAAATATTTTAATAAAAAAAATTATTAATAAAAAAAATATTTTACAGGCCATGGCCGGCGATCAGGCCATGGCCAAAAAAAAGAAAAAAATATATTTTTAATAAAAATATTTTAATAAAAAAAATATTTTACGAGCCATGGCCGGCGACCAGGCCTTGGCCAAAAAAAATAAAAATATTTTAATAAAAAATATTATTAATAAAAAAAATACTTTATCGGCCATGGCCGGCGACCAGGCCATGGCCCAAAAAAATAAAAATGTATATTTTTAATAAAATATTTTAATAAAAAAATTTATTAATAAAAAAAATATTTTACAGGCCATGGCCGGCGATCAGGCCATGGCCAAAAAAAAGAAAAATATATATTTTTAATAAAAATATTTTAATAAAAAAAATATTTTACGAGCCATGGCCGGCGACCAGGCCATGGCCAAACAAAATAAAAATATTTTAATAAAAAAATATTATTAATAAAAAAATTATTTTACCGGCCATGGCCTAAACCGACCATGGCCAAAAAATAAAAATATATTAATAAAAATATTATTAATAAAAAAATATTTTACGGTCATGGCTACGCGACTGAGCCATGCAAAAAAAAAAAAAAAATACTTTTAATAAAAATATTATTAATAAAAAAATATTTTACGGTCATGGCCGGCGAGCAGGCTATGGCCAAGAAGGAGGAAAAGAAAAAAAGAAAAGAAAAAAAAGAAAGAAATATTAAAATATTTAAAAATATTATTAATAAAAAGAAATTTTGTAGCGTTACCAAACGCATTTATGTTCTTTTTCTATTCCAGGGATGGAATTTTGGGCCGTTAAACAAACGCCTTAAAATGCTCAGAATCAATTCCGGGCACAGAATCAAAAAGAATCATTTTTGACCAGAATCTGTTCCCGGGCACAGAATCGTTGTCATGCGCAGCCTAAGCCTCAATCAAGGGAAAAAGCAATAAAACCACAAAAAAACCCTAAATTCTTACTGTTTGTTCATATGTTATGATATGAATATACCGCGTCAATTCGTTATGTTCCATTGATACAGAGCCAATTCCAATAGACTTGATAAATTTTTCCTCTATTAATTTTCTTTAAATTTTATCGTCAAATTACTGAGTTGGATGATATGAGACGGTTGACAAGCGTACCAATTTAGGATTTTGCCCTTTGTCACAGATTTATCAATTTTTGATTTTTCGTGATATTAATTTAATTTAATAAAAAGTAAATTTATTATAAATATTTGAGGTAAATTTATCTGCTACGTTAGGTTTAGAATTATTCGTGGTATTAAAATTTTTTTTTTAAGTATTAATCAGCTGAGCAAGGGAGAAGCGGGTTTTGGATTTTCACACGCGCTCTCTCTCTCTATCTCTAAAAGCCTCAAAGGTAACGAGGTTCGTCGTGCTCTGCAATGGCGGATTTCCAGACCTCGACCCACCGAGCCAAGTGGATATTCACTCCTCATGATCTGGTAAATCCTCTTCGCATCTTCTCAATTCGAGAACCCAAACAATCTGGAAGAAATTCTCGGCTGTAGACTCCCGTTCGGTTGCCCAGAAATGCTGGTTCTACTGTTGATTGATGCTTGCTTGAAGCGATCGATTTGAAGGGGCTGAATGAATTTCATGCTGCGAAATCGCCTGCGTGCTTCTCAGCGCCTTTGTCGAATATAGGCTTGTGCAGTCTGCTGATGAGCTTGTGGGAATTCCGTGATTTGGTGTGGTCGTTCGTTGTGCTTGGTGGATGTGAAATTTCCGGGTCCTATCTTGTGCTGGCCTTGTTGGTTTTTTTTTCTTGGGTGAGTGAGTAAATTGGTTTCTGCTTTGTGCTGGTGCAGGCTGAAAAGTACAAGGCTGCTAATCAGAGAGCGATAGAAACTCTCGAGAAGGTTCGGGTTTCTTCTTATGTCGTCTTCGGGCCTTCTGTCGACCCGCGCGTCGCTCCGCAGCTTTTGCTCGTGCGGTTTTCGATTCGTTAGGTTTGATGTTTCGTTGGTCTCCGCTCGATCCTAGAAGAGCGCCGTGCGAAGTGCACGGGAGGTTGGCCGGTGTTGGATTTGTGACTGCTTTTCTTTGCTTATGAGAAATTGTTCAGAAATCTTGTGCAAATTGCTTCCAGGGAAGCAAAAGGAGTCATTTCCTTCTTGGTTAAGTATGAAAGAAGAGAGTGCTTGAACGGGGACATTCTTTGTTACCTGGCCTCTAGCTCAGAAACTTGCCCATGTTCTTTTGAGTTAAGCTCATCAAGCAATTGGTCTTGAATCTCGATTGATAATACTGAACTACAGTGAGATTCTTCTTGTTGTTGAGTGGGTTATTACGGATTGGATGCCATAGAGGTCTCATCATCATCTCATTGTCATGTTTTCTCTGGCTTTTTCAATTGTTTCGAGTCCCTTCAAATATGAAGGATGAAACCTTTAATTGTATTGTTTAGTGATGAAAATTTGCTGATATGATGTGAAGTATGGAGCGACACGCATGGAAGTAGATGTCGATGGATCGTTGTTATACCGCGAGGCTCAAGTTAATTCGAATGGTAATTCCTTTTCTTTTGCAGAGCTGTAACTCTTTCAGATGTTTTCCTGGTGGAAATTGTTTAGCCACTCATTGCATTCTCTCCCATAGTGATTTGAATCCAACAATTTTTCTACTGCCTAATTTATTCTACTCTCAACAGACAAGCATTCCCGTCCAAAAGCACTTAACATTGAGGAAGAACAGTTTTTGAGGATGTTCTATGAAAATAAACTTCGAGAAGTTTGTGGAGCCTTTTACTTTCCACATAAAATTCAGGTATGGTCTCCTTATGTGCAGTATCACGATAACAGCTAACATTGATGTAATTACAGAGTAAAATTTTTACTTGGATTTTGGATTTTGCTTTGGCAGGCAACAGCTCTCATATACTTCAAAAGGTTCTATCTACAGTGGTCGGTCATGGAACATCACCCAAAGGACATCATGTAAGATTCAATGATGCCGATTTAATTCTATCTGAAATTATGGCTATGGTAATTGATTGCATCTGGAAATTATTTGCATGTATGTTTTTGTGCATGTGTTAGATCGAGTTGCCTATTGTATACAGATTTTATATGAATCCCTATTGGACTTGCTAATTACTCACTGCCATGTTCAGTCCAGTTGCCTTTTGCATGAATGTTTCTGTGCATGTGTTAGATCGAGTTGCCTATTGTATACAGATGTTATGTAAATCCCTATTTGGACTTGCTAATTACACACTGCCATGTTCAGTCCAGTTGCCCTTTCAAGTTTTCTGCGGAATCTGTAGCTTCAATATTCATTCTCATTGTCCTTTTCTTCTTTTGAGCTCATTGTGACCGTTTACTGGAAAATCTTATGATCTTGGAACTGAAATAAGTGCCTCTGTATGCACAGCTTAACCTGCATATATACAGCCTGTAAAATAGAAGAAAATCATGTATCTGCAGAGGAGCTTGGTAAGGGAATCTCACAGGATCATCAAGTCATTCTCAATAACGAGATGCTAGTTCTTCAGGCATGGTTATGCCTCCTCAATTGTATCATCTCTTCTATTCTTTTCTTTTACTTATTTTTAACTCAGTGCATCTTTTGCAGAGTTTAGAGTTTGATCTTATTGTATATGCGCCATATCGCTCAATTGAAGGTTTCACAGATGATGTTGGGGTAATTTTTTTTTATCTCTTCATCATATCCCTGAATAACATTGACATATTTGTTGGAATAATGTTATAACTGCTATTATGCTACGTGTCGCTTCCTTTCCCTTAATAATGTTAGTGCTGCAGGATTTCTGCCATGCAGATGATGACCAGCTTCAATTGCTAAAGGTGATTTCTGTATTCTCTGTACCCTCCAGATATCTTTAGCTTCTAGACTTGTCTTACTTTGGAATGAGTGTGTGAGTTGCGTATCCTCAGATTGTTTTCAAATGCATTTTATGTAGCTCTCATAGTTTGCTTAGCATTATTGAGTAGCTGTAGGCTTCCTATAATATCCTTCCTCAAAACACTGTATTACACTGACAGTGAGAGTTTGAGAGGTCGAGACTTGTGGAATTATTAATTGTCTGCTTAATGAGGCAGCTGGTCTCAAGGCTCAGCTTACTTTCTATCTCCAGAGACTGCCTGCGATTTAAAATTGAGGCCGCATTGCTCATATTGTATCCTTTTGAAATGACTTGACAAGAGATGACAATAAAGAAGTTAAATATTTTTTAACCTATTTGACAAGTACATTTCCAGTTTCCTTCATTTCAACTTCTGACTATATTCCTTGTCTAGAGACTTCCGTCTATCTGCAAATTAAATCCAATGTATAGCTAACAGTGAGGGAGACAGTTGAATAATTCATTTGGATGGAAAATTAGGTGAAATTAAGATTTGTTGCGGAAAACAAATTGGGTCATTTCCTTGAACCATTGTTCAATTGAGCGTATCTGCTTGTAGATGAACATGCCATTGAGAAATGCTAAATTGTTGCGCTGTTATATTCGTGTATGGGCAAGACCAATCTTTTGCACCTTATGGAACTGTATATCTACCTTGATAAACTTATAACTTCTTAACAGATCTAACTGAGTGGGAACCTTAGTTGTGGGTACAACATGTGGGAAGTAAAAACAGAAGCACCCCATATGCATCAACTTAGTTGCTTGAATTTAGAGAAGCATCACCCTTGGAAGGAAATTGAGGTTAAAGGCTACAATAAGAAGGTGGGTTGAGCCGACATCTGGCATTTCGCCATACCGCTGGGGGACATTCGTGCTCAGAAATATGCATGCTTTTGATGAACTTGAAATAGTGTTATTACATGGCTTGTGCCTTATGTACATGATAGCCTCTGACCCAAGCATTGTAGAATATTCGTTGAACAGTATATTAAGTCAATTGTTTCATTTTTTTGTTACTGCTTCATATTCAAGTCTTCGGCTTATTTATCTTACTGCTGCATATTATCTGTGTACTTTTGGAAATAGACTGCTCATATCATCCTTATGTTACTCTAATTATCTGCTTTATGGTTCTTGATCATTTCCAGGAAACTGCAAAAGAGGAAGTAGACAAAAGTATGCTTACTGATGCACCACTTCTCTTTCCTCCTGGACAGGTACTTCTTGCATTTTAGATAGTTTTTTGTGCTCCATTTCTTACAGTTCTACTTTTACTTGGTTCATGAGCCAATTTTTAGATATGCTTTCTAAATTTAAAACGTATCACCCGGCAACTTGCTTTCAATTTTTGAATAATTTCCCATGAGGTTTATAAGCTCCATATGAGGAGCATAGAGTTCTCCAAATAAAAAGGAGTTAAACTCATGTCAGATGCTTCAACGTGTTTAATGGGTATCTGGGCAACAGAGAAATTTGGTGCAGTAGCAATTGTGTAACCTTTAAAAATGTTGGCTACAATACCGATAATAGTGGATGCGTTTGGAAACTTTAACTGTTGAGTGGTTCCAGAGATCTTGGCCCCTACCTCGCTGAATGGATCCTTTAGAATTTCACCATACTTTGATGGTCTAGCTGAGCTCGCATGTCATATGCTTAATGGCTCTTTTTTGTTTTCTGGTGCAGCTGGCATTGGCGGCTTTGCGTCGTGCTAATGAGGTGCATAGAGTTCTTGACTATGAGAGGTAAGAGCTACTCAATTTTTTTAATGAAACCAACAACAAGAATTACTGTTGCCATACTCATTTCTACATTGGGGTAGCCAGTTGTTCTGCTTCTCTTGGTACCTTAGTTGTAATGATGATTGGGCCAATTGAAACTTATGCCTCTTTTCAGATACCTAGAGAACATGCTCGTACGCCAAAATTCAATCCACAGCAGCACAGAGCTCATTGAACATCTGAATGCCATAGATTCCTCGGTAAATACTCAAGTTTCCTCGCATTTATCTCAAAATTTGATCCAGCTTTATCTCCAGTAAAAGCATAACTGGTCTTGCAATTGCAATTCTACTTGACATGCAAGTCATGTGGACCAAGTTTTAGGTATTGATAAAATTTCTAATTTTTTCTTCTTGCTGCTGACTGAATAAAGGTTAGGACATATAAATTCCCTTCTGAGAAGGATATGAAACACATTAACAGGAAGCTGAGATCTTGTTGGGGCCTTAGTTCACATGATGAGTAATTCCTTCAAACCTTTTTCTTGTGATTTTTTTTTTTATTATCTATGACAATTGGCATGTGAAACTTATGAGATTGATGCTTTGCAGTAGTAAGAAACGAGACAAGAAATCAAAGCACAAATCCAAGCAGAGTGCAGATTAGATGCAAGATGGGTCGTCTCTTGCTTAACAGTATGTCATATGTATCTGTTGTGTACTGCTCTCATTTTTTCCATTCAAACTGTTCTGATTGCTTGGTTTATCCTGTTTTAGACTTTTTCTCAGAAATGCTTCAAGTTGTTCTTAAGAAACTAGTCGTTGATTTTTTGCAGGTGTCTGCACAGCTGACGTATTGTCATTAGTGCCACACTCGTCAAAATATGCATCTACTGCGACCGTGGGTGCTGAACTCACTCTTCAAAGCATGTTTTGCATCACGGAAAATATTCCACAGTATGGACGTGACAGAAGAAATTGGCATCTAGCAGGGTTTATTCGCAGCTGGAAACAGCTGTTGAAATGCAATTGATTTAGGAGTACTGCTGATCGGTGAAGTTGAGAATTTACATAAACTACTTTTGCGTATGTTGTGTTTATCCGTGATTGTAAATATGTTGTGTTTATCCGTGATTGTAAATCTGCTGGACGAGGCAGTCACGTATGCGTGACTTTGGGCTAGAGGATGAAAATTGTGCCGATTAGAATTGTCCTCTGTACTGGACCATAATTTTGTTACGAGGGGCGTCCCGAATTATAAGTTCCTGGGAAGTTATTCAGGAATTTATATCTTTACCGACTTTTCTCTTATTTACTGAAATTATATCACAAGGATGTTACCTCCAGTTTTAGCATTTCGTTCCACAGCAGGAAATCAGATGGTGGATTGACTTGCCTTCTCGAAGGGATGAAAGAGAGTGAGTTACGGGTTCTTTTTATTCTATTTACCAAAGAGTAAGCTACATATCTTGATGGATAGACTACATTACCCTATATAAACCCTAAATTTTGGATTGATTTCTAATTACTACCATTTTTTAATGTTGGAAATACGCAAAACCATTTAGATAAGTCATTTTCTGCTCATCTAACCACCCATTTAAAGTTTTTCTTAACATAATATGAAAACCTGGGCTTCATCTTGGTTTTTATCTAAATCTCGAGATCACCAGGATGTCTTGGTTTTTATCTAAATCTTGGGATCACCAGAGGGAATTAGGAGTACAGGTCATATGGGCATTGCCACGTTAAAATAAAAAACGCGTGCGTAAAGTTCGCCGTTATTATATATCAAACGGACAGATCACGGAGGTCCCTATAAATAAGTCATTTTTGACTCCTCTAACCCCACATTTAAAGTTTTTCTTAACATAATAAGAAAACCCAAATTTTTGGTGTGTGGCCAGTATTGCTCCTTTGAAAGATGTTGCAAGCATATGACAGAAAACCAAATCTCATTATTGTAGCAGTGCCCTATACTTATATTTTGTTGTACCCGTGTTCTATTGATCCTTTGACTTGCCATGCTTCAAATAAGTAGCTTTCATGAAATTTGGGTAGTTTCTATCTGCTTCAATGAATTCAAATAGAATTCAATGACCAAGAAACAAAATGGAAATATGTTGCCTACCCTGTTTCTTTTAATCCTCTGGACACTGTTGAAAGCTAGTCAAAATGAATAAAATAGATCATATCTGTTGAATCTAAGTCAAACTGATTCTTAAAGTTAAAGGTAAGGGTAGAAAAAGGAAAATAGGAAAGAAGTTAACTTTGGATGCCAAATAGTAAAATAGCACCATATTTTGCATTATTTAAAAGTTTATTTCAGAAACAAGTAGACATTGGATGGAAAATTTATTAGCCGATCAAAGTTTGGCCAAATTTGGGTTAAAAACTTTTCCCAATTGAATAATTTGAAATGCTTGATGTTGTAAGTTTTGGAGCTTTCTAAAAATATAAATTATTTAGAGCTAATCATACCAATCAAATATTTAACGAAAAAAATATAATTGCCATCCGCAGATTACCCGAAAATTCACCATCTCGGCCCTTATTGTTGAAAAATAAACCGCGTTCTTGGACCAATCGGGTTATGGGCTTTCCGTAGGTGCAAAAATCGAGTCAATAGGACATTAGACGAAAAAGTTATGTTCGATCAAAGTTTGATCAAATTTGGGGATCATTTGTTAAAAAAGTCTTAAACATATAAAACTTTCCAATTTGGCTAATTCTTTCATAAACATTCTCTCAAACATTCCAATACAGGACTACATTGTTGAAAATGCATATGATATGATTGCATCCCTCCACTGAACAATGCAAATTTGGTGTTCGGATGTATGTACCTCTTCTCTTCTTCCTCGATTGCTTTTGATGATTGTTTCTTCTTTCCCAAGTGTGAGCTGGATGGTTGTTCAAGGTGATGTTTCTTGGGCGGCATTTTCGCTCAGCATTTTCACTATTTTCAGGTAGATTTAGAGATTTTCGCACTTTTTTTGGCTCTTCGATAGTCAGAATTTCTTGCTGGTAGCAGTGGTGTTGGTTCAGCGTGCTCCTCGCTGTGGAGTGAGGGTAATTCATTGGGCCATGTGTTAACGGGCTTGTGTATTATGCATCAAGTGATCTGCTAATTCAAGCTCTCTTTTTCCCCAATAAGCATCTACAACTGAAGTTCAATAGCATGGTCGAAATTAAGAGAGTGACATTCTCAAGAAATTGACTCAGTGGTCAAGTCTTTGATTTAGATTTAGTAATTCAGGTTTGAATCACAACATTTTTCATTCAAAATAACATTGAAAACTACACCTTTGACGGATGTACTTAGACATGAAAATGGATTGATCATCATTTCATCTTTTGGAGTGAATTGAAATTTTTTCCGACAGAATTAGTAATCAGACTTCTCTCAACAAATTTGCAAACACTTGGACATGAAAAAGGGTTGACCATCATTTCATCTTTCGGATCAAAATTTCCAAATAATAATGAATTGAAATTAAGATTTTTCACTGTTTTCAGGCAAATTGAGCGATTTTCGCACTCTTTTTGGCTCTTTGATAGTCATAATTTCTTGTCGGCATCAAGTGTCCAGAGGTGCTGGTTTAAAGTCGTCGTCGCTATGAAGTGAGGGTGAAGTGAGGGTAATTCATTGGACCAAAAGTGCGGGTAATTTGTTGGGCCATGAGTTGATGTCATCGTCACTAGTTCAATGCTCTTTTTTACTCTTTGTCTGACATCCGGAATTTTCCACGTTTTGTAATAATATTTAAAATGGTTTTCCGTGATCGTTGTCACCCGGAGTCCGATGTGATAGGAGGTTGACACGTATGTTGATGGTGTAGTGTGACCGTAATTAATTAATTGCCACCATATTAGTTGAAGAAATGATTTATAAGTTCGAAGTTTCACATTGGATGATTTTCAAACATTAAAAATTTTATTGAGTTAAGGTGTCACTTTTATTCTATACTTTCATTAATGATTTTAGTGGTTTCCAAATAATTTTTTGATTTACCGACATTTCAAACAAATACCGATTTCTCCGTTTATTTATCGCAATGTATAGTTTATACCCAAAATAACCTAATATCTTCCTCTATTCAATTAAATTATGTTATTTGTCACTATATTAGTATGAATAAATGTCTTAATTCTCACCCTATTTTTGTCACATGCCTAATTTAAATGCTTTGAATCTAAGCCCATGACATCATGCATGACCTATTATATTTTTAATTCTAGTAAGTTATTATCTAAATGTAACTATAGTTATTTGTTATTATAGTTTTTAACCCAAGTCATTTAAAGTGACCCCAAAATACTTTTCATTGTGGCAAAATTTTTAAAGATAAGAGACTAAAAAGCATTTCTTCTTCTTCTTCTTCACGTGGACATCACTCCCTTCTTCTTCTTCTTTTAATTCAAATTTTCTTTTTCACTCTCTTTCAACAAAGAAATCAAAGTTCAAGCTCACTTTCAATCTAGTTTCTTGACATGGTATATTGTTGGACTTCCATTTCCTTTTTTATCAAATAAGCTTTGTTGTTCTTTTTAAATAATAAGATTTGTTAATTTTAGTATCTATTTTGATTTCAAGGTGGTTAGAGGCTTGCTTTGTTGAAGATTTCACTTTGGGTAAGTGAAAACTCTAAGGACTAAGTTAGAATGATTTATTTAGTACTCTTGATCTTGGTTGATTGATTGTTTGTTATTTAGTTTAGATCTTATGCTATGTGTGGGCAAGTTTCAATAGATGTATGTTAAGCTATGGTGATTGTTGAACTTGAAGTAAAAAGCTTTTCACATGTTTATGTGGTTCTTGAGAGATCACTAAAAGGTTTTATTGCATTTTGAGTAGGAAAAGTGTGAAAATGATAAAACTAGGCATAAAAAGGGTATTTTGGTAATTTTCTTGTCAAGGTAAGGGAGAATTTCGAATTTACAGAAATGAAGAGGGGCTGTGAACAATGTTATTTTATGAATTTTAGTGTTAATTAGTGGGTTATTAAGTCATATTAATTAAAGGAAATCAAACCGGTTAAAAAAAATGAGTTTATAAGCTTTAGGGGCAAATTTGTAATTTCACCAAGTTTAGGGGCGAATCTGTAAATACTGAAAGTTCTGGGGACTGTTCACAATGGAGGAACCTTATTATGATAGGTGGTTAAGTTATTTTTAGAGTTAATTGCTTAATCTAGACAAAGTATCTAACTATGCAAAATTGTACCTAATTGTGTAATTAATTTGGAAATGGGCTGTTTTGGCAATTTTATCAAATATGTGTCATGCCCATAGTGTAAATAAAATACTCGTATGTTTTAGATGAAAAATAAATGGCTTTTGGTGTTTAATTTAATTAATATGGCTTGATTAACCGAAAGTGTGAAAATGACAAAACTAGATTTGATAATAATATTTTCATAATTCGACTAAGTGCTGTCAATTAATCACGTGGCCGATTCTTTGAGTTGTCGATGGTCATACTGTTGATTCTCTAAGTTGTTGATGTTCACATGGTCGATCATTTGCGTTGTCGATATTCACGTCGTCGATGATTTGAGTTGTCGGTGTTCACGTGATCAATTTATGAGCATCAGTTCCTAAGTTACCGAATTACCTATCTATGGCTTCCGATTAAATAGTGATGGAAAGAATGATGATATATTTATTGAAGTGCATGTAATTAATTATCTATCATTAATTGCGTGAGAAATGACAATTGTTATGTTGTTACAAAATGTATGTGAATGATGCCATGTAATTAAGACCTTTGTCACGACCTATTCGCCACAGAGCGAATTCCCTTGCATGACTATGTGGATGAGACTCTGGAGTTAGCCAGATGTTCTACCGTATGATACGGTTCTCTACAAGGTTGAGATGATATGAAATCCCATAATGACATGGCTCTTGTAGTCATGGTATGACATGGTTTTGCCATGATATGA